TAATTCTAAATTGCTGGTACATGTGATTGTGAATGTAAATTTGTTTTTACATAGATTACTTTCCACCCAACTTTAGATAGAATACGCTCCTGTCCCTTACAATCCTGAACAGGATAAACCGGTTAGAAAATGCACAGACGAATGTATTCCATCATTTTAGCATCATACTTAGACAAGAAAGGGATGCAAATTTTATAAGACAGTAAATTCACAGTTCACAAGAATCTACTGAGATGTCTCTACTTTTGTGAATATCTTAAAGATCTTATATTTAATTTCTTTGGTCCTAAGACAATACACAAAAGGATTTACAAGAGACGGGCCGAGGATGGTCCCAATCATTAAGCCATGGCGTGCCTCAAGAGTTAATGTCACACCTAACCTGGTCAAGACAGAGGAGACAAATATTGGACAGTAATAACATGCTACCACAATCAAGTGACTCAAACAAGTGGTGCCTATTTTCTTTTTATCACTGCTCGAGGATAATTTCACAAAATATATGATCCCCAAATATGACAGGCAAATAAAACAGAAAGTGAAAAATAAAAGAAAAAATAATATGATGGTAACCATACCGAAATAGTAAGTGGGGTCGACACAAGTGGTTCGCATTATGGCAGCGTAGTCACAGAAAGTGTACTTCAGTGTTGAGGAGCAGTGAGGGAGAGGAACCAGACTTGCAGGCAACACAGCCACAAAACAACAGGCAAGAATCCACAGGAAATACGCAAGGACAAGAGTACGAGCATTTGTTAAAAAACTGTGGTACTGAAAAGGATAACTGATAGCAACCAGTCGATCAAATGCCATAACCGATAAAGAAAACATCTCCATCACCCCTCCCAAGTGGAAAGCAAACATTTGAATGAAGCATGGCACATACGATATGGTATTAACACCACCAACTAGAATCCCAATCATTGTTGGACTGGCACTGGTCATGTACAGTATATCAACAACAGCGAGGTTACAAATCAGAACATACATTGGTTTGTGTAACTTCCTGTCATAAATAATGAAGAGGATGTTTACCATGTTGGCTAGAACAGCTAGAACATAGGTAATCAATATAACCACACCAACTAACATAGGCCTTTTGGTTTTGTCAAAACCACCTATAACAAATTCTGTTACTGTGATTGAAGCATTATATAAAGGCATATTTAACTAAATAAAAGTTATTTCAAATTTCAAAAAGAAGAAAATCATGAAAAAAGTGTTCTCACAGCAAAAGATCCTTCAACATGCTGCAAATCATAACCAGTCAGTCAGTCAGTCAGTCAGTCAGTCAGTCAGTCAGTCATATAATATCTCACTGAGCTCCCTCAAACAGTTTTCCCAACAATGAAGATTTCCAGATAGCTTGTAGGATTTAAGCTTTTAAGGCTCACTACAACAGTAACTTCTTATTGGCCAGGACCTTCATCCAGTCATATTGGATGTTGATTGGAGTTTGAATGATGAGTTCTCCGGTGAATACGGACGCACAGCGGCCATTATTGGTGTGTGAGTGCAGAGTGAACGAGTGCTTTGTTTGTTCAGGTAGAAAATTAAACTTTTAATAGAAGTATCTAATTGTAATGTAATTTGTAATGTAATGCTATTAATTAATGCAAAGAGACAAATAGTCATTCATCTGCAAAATGTTTTAAAATCATCATCTAAATACTGTATCATTAATTTCAAACTCACTGCTGTTCTTCAACAGTGCACTGCTGTTTGTAGGAAAAGTGCCAATTATTGCAAAAGCATTGCAGCTCTATCTGTAGTGGTCCTGTCATGTTTGAACATAGTAGTTAAAAAACATTATTATTCATGTTGAAAACCACAATATCAAATGTGTTGATTCACATGATAAAATGTGTTACTGTGACTATTTAACCGTGAAGGTGTTGGTTGGCATTTTTTCCACTCTGGACAGAGGCCAGCTTCTTCCCCTTCCTCATCTTTATGCAAAGCTAAACATGACCAAACCCTAACTCAAGTTTCATACATAACACACACATGTAGCGTTAACGCCATAATTTAGAATTTACTCTCGTTGAAATGGGGCACCAGTCCAATGATACTACATCTACGAATTAGGTTTGATTGGTGTTGGAATATTTCGAGCTGCAAAATAATGAACTCATTGCAAACATTGCAATGCAGTGTATAAGCGCCATAGTTTTGGCTTGTTATTTGTGAAGAGTTTATTTTTTCTGCACTATAATGGATTACATTAGAAACAAAATCAGTTCCTATCCATCTTTTTCTTTAGAACTAGTTGAGGATTACGTTGAATCTGACATAGTCTACAGTTTAAACCTAATGATGACTAACGACTATATTTAGTTTGATTTACTTTTTAAAAGAATGTACAAATCACAAAAACAAGTGTTTACATTTATATGACAGGCTAAATTTACAGTGGATCAAAGCACATATTGTTGAAATTTAAGTTCAGTGGTACCAAGCATTTGATATAGCTCCTTGTAGTTTCTGTATCATACTATATTTAGTCCTTAGTCACAAGGAGTTACTCATTTTATAATTTTTCACAAAACCACTAGTGACAATAGAGGTTCCTATGTTCACATGCAGAGATTATGCAACTAATGCATTTCTATTTCTACAACACACACACACACACACACACACACACACACACACACACACCCACACACACATACGCGCGCACACACACACACATTCAAAACTAACATATTGTAGACCCAAATTTATTGTCAGTAGGGATGCTAATTTTGAATTTTTTTCTGACTGATAGCAGCTCGTTAACAGACAAGATTAAAATATACTATTTAGAATGGACAAGTGTCTGTGGCCCATTAAAAAATAGCAGTACAACAAATGTTTTTTTTTTCATAAGAAGGGGCTCATTTTTACATGTGCAGAACCAGCATAACAGCCTACATCTCCAGTGTAGGAAAATATTATATAAATAAAATAAATAGCATACAGTAGTCAGACTCTCTAGTGTATAAACAGTTTAACAAAATGAAAACACACATTGAACCCTTCAGCGCTGAGAGTGCTGTAAGGAAAACCTCCTCTTCCTCCTCCGCTCTTGGCTAAATAATGATCAAAAACAGCCAACAGGTTAACAAAACTTAAACTTGTAGTCGCATTTCTCATACCTCAGAATAAAACATGTGCCCCCCGAACTACATGGACGCAATTACTGTTGATGTTGTGTTCAGCACAATTAAGCATCAAAAAGTTTTTACTTGATGATAGAGTGAGATGTTTGTTTTAGACCGATGACAGTCAGCAAGCAACAGCACAAATGAGTTCCAAGAGGACGCTAGTTAGTGTCTCATGTCAACAATGGTCTCAAGTGTGTGATTAAAGGCTGTATGTGAGTCTAGGCCTCTGTGTCTTTGTACCTTAGTGAATACTCATGTCAACAGAATCTTTTTCTAACTATTTCTGTGAATATTAACTCTGTTGTTTGCACACCAACTGACATCATAGTTAACTTCCATAGAATTGGAAAAGTTAGAGTATGAATGCTGTGAAGCGCTGGGAAGACATGTACTGTAGCCACAATGCATATTTGTTCATAGAGGTAATCACTTGCATGGTTCTGAACTGCCTTAGATAGTATCTTCCACATTGAAAATAGGACATAGGTCTATAGCCATCTATCACATAATTTGTTTTCATCAATTTAATTTATATACGAAAAAGTCATGAGAAGCCATAAGAAACTCCCAAGCCCAAATTTGTCTACATACAGTATATCTCATTTTGTTTAGGCAAAGGTAAAATCCCAATGTTAAGTTTAAAATGTAATGAAAAGTAGGAGAGCAACAAAACCTCACACTTAAGAAGATGTAACCAGCAAATCTTTGACAGTTTTAATTGATAACGGTTATGGACAAAATGCAGGCCCAAATCCATCCTTTATTTTCCAGCTTTTCTTCTTTAAAAGAAAAAAAAGGTTCAGTCAGTTCAAGGTGACTTTCTCAAAAGCCAGCAGGCTTCACATTTCAACCTGGAGGATTATGCTTCAAAGACATCCACTCAGATTAAACATATGCTATGTGCTGAGAGACCACTATTAAACACTGGGGATATTAACACTCCTCCCTCAGTATCAATTTAGGTAATTTAGGTACACATGGGAGTTTTGTTAAAATTAAGTTATTTACCCATGTGAGACTTATAATTTATTAGCATTATTAAATTAGTGTTTGTTCCAATTAGCCAACATGAGGTGAGTGTTCCTTGCATAGTATATACAGTATTTACCCAGGCAACTATTTAATTTAATGTTAATTACTACATTAATAGTCAAAAAAGTAGGATAGGATCAAGACCTCTTTAGAAACTGGAAAATTAAGAAACAAAAATTGCTATTAATGTTCCCATTAGAGTGATACACAACCACTTATTCCAGCGGGTTTACTGTGGTTTATGTTTATTCTAAGAGTAATTAGTGGACATCTTTCTGCTTGATGAAAAAAAAGAAAAGAAAAAGAAAACTGCCATTTGTGTGCTTAAAGAGGTTAGTTGACTGATTGTTAGTGATCCGCAGAGAATTAAAAAAAAGGGATGGATTCCATGTCCAGATCACAAGGCATGCTATAAAGTCTTTTTAAGAGGTGAATCAGTACCTAGACTTTGCTGCCATACTGTTTGAGAGAGGTACATGTAAACTGATCTACTGTTATGTCATTAAGGATTCAAGAATACAAAAGTTTATTTTATTACACACAAAACATATATGTAATGAAATGCAATGTAGTATGGACTTTAAGGCTATGCTAAAAAAAAACTTGTATAAAAAATTTGAATCAGAAAAAAGGAACTATGAAGGATATAATAGGAAAGGTTATAAAAGATTCATCAATTACTGTAAAATGGTTGAGAGTTGTTAATTATCAATCAGATGTGAAACGATAAATGTTTGATGTTAAAGTCTTTCATCTAATGTGTTGTAAATGTGCTCCCATATTTCCTTTTCAGTGTGTTTAGGAAAATTCAGCTCCATCATGCCAGAGGGAAATCACAGCATTGTGACTGAATTTATCCTTACAGGATTCCCTGGACTTCATCCAGAATACCAAGGTCTTGCCTCAGTTGTGTTGTTCTTGGTTTATTCCTTTACTTTGATGGGCAATGCTACAGTCTTTTTTTTATTTGCAACTGATCGTAGCCTTCATAAGCCAATGTATTATATAATTCTGAATCTCAGTGCTTGTGACATTCTCTTTAGCACAACCACCTTACCTAAGATCATAAGTAAGTACTGGTTTCAATCAGGGACCATCTCATTCAATGCTTGTTTTGTCCAAATGTACTTTGTTCACTTTCTTGGCTCAGTGAATTCCTATATTCTCTTCCTAATGGCTTTAGATAGGTATTTCGCCATCTGCCATCCTCTCAGATATACACTTGTTCTTAAAAACTCCACTATATGCATTCTCAGTATTACTGCATGGGTTGTTGCCAATGCAGGCCCTTTAATGATAGTTATTAGGGCATACCCTCTGCCTTACTGTGCCTCAAACATAATCAATCACTGTTACTGTGATCATATTGGTATAACAATACTCGCTTGCACTGACAGAGCCCCTTATGGCTTTCCTGCTTTTGTGTTTGCAATGGTTGTGCTGCTGGGGCCTCTGGCATTTATCATTTTTTCCTACTGTTGCATAGTTAGAGCAGTACTTAAGATAGCAAATTTACAAGGTCGCCTTAAATCTTTATCCACTTGTAGTACTCAACTAATGGTAATTTCACTCTATTATTTACCCAGGTGTTTTGTATATTTAGCCAGCAATGTTGGCATTAAATTTAGTGCCGATATGCGAATAGTAATTATCATGCTGTATAGCCTTTGCCCCCCTATGATAAATCCACTTATATATTGCTTAAGAAGTAAAGAAATGAGAGAAAGCTTGCGAAAGCAATTCAACAAAAGGGCTGCTTCACAAAAAACACGAGTTGCAGCTGTTAGTGACTGACAAACCGATGAATCTTTTTTTTTTTTTTTTTTTTTTTATTACTTGGTCCTTTCTTCGAATTAGCCGTCTCCTTCTGTGAGAACTGAAAAGTTTTTAAAAAAATATTGATTGGGGAAAAATTGAAAGTCAAACCTGTCACAGTGATAACCACATCATTTTAACACATAGGAGGCCACACCTAGAGGAAGGGAAAAGACTTCTACAATCTAGTATATCCAAATGAAACAGCCCTCAGGTATGTTTATGTAAAACAAATAATGCCATGTATGTCATTAAAACAATGTTCAGCGATTTCTGTTGCAAGTTACGGAGGAAAACAGAGGAAAATGGGTTTTTAAATGTTTTCTGGCCTCTGACCTTGTTAGGTTAATTGTTTTAACTGACCTCAACAATCACTGCAGAGACCTCTCATGTTGTCATGTTGATTAGAGTGTGTCATACATGTTATGGCCACAGTACAAGAGAAGTTAAAAATTGATTATATAGAATTCAGGCATTTCTCAAGCCTGTATTTTCTATTACAAAATGAACTGAATAAAATGTACATTTATTATTAATATGTTGTATCAGTCTTGTTTATCAAGCATCCCTGAACATTGCCAGATCTAAGAAAAATGTAGGTCAGAATTTAGCAATGTCTCACACAGGTATCCAGTTTAGGTTGTTGTGACCAGACCAAAAACAACACATGTTTGGAATAACTTACATTGACTTTTGACCTCAAGCACAAATATTTAGTTTTCCTCCGGGACAAAACCCACTAGTACAAGAAATGTATATTGTCCTACTGATCAAATAAACAGTGTTTATCAAGTGCTTATTCAATGAGGTGATTCTCTGTCATGATTTTTTAAGAGTTTTGGACATGTTCATATGTTATGCGTTCATTTCAGAAAAGAATGAACTGTACTGGACACTAATCATAAGATTAATTATAGATTAGACATTGTGTTTTTACTCTCTTACATCATAAATAAATGTCTCTAAGTATAACTACTGGTGTGTTTAATGTTGCACAAGTGTGAATATTGCCAACTTCTATTTAGTAGAATTCCAATCCTTCAGTTTAACTTACTGTTGATATGGTAATTTGGTTAAAGTTTTTAAGGTAATTATTAATCAGAGTTCCAGATTATAGTAATAATTTGGGACTTAAACAATATTGGCTATTTTGCCTATTAGTTTAGGCCGGTGCCCCCGAGGACTTTAATTCATTTTAAAGTTATCATTTTATATTAATATTTTAATATTAATATTTTCTTAATTTATGATAGCAAATAGAATAGACAACCGAAGATCCAACATTTATGGTGTCCAGCTCATGAGGCAGAACTCAGACCCAACAAAGTTTATCAATAGATTATGTGGTATCGGACCGGTGCATCAAGTATTCAGCGTTAACCAACCCAGTATTTTAGGTAGTATCAGAGGCATTTCCGATACTACTATCAGAACATCTCTAAAATAAATACAGTTTGAAGAAGAAATAATTAAAAACCTTTAAACAGTTGCATTCTACTAACCCTGTATGGATGTGATACGATTGCTGTCATTGTTGTATGGCATGGCTCAGGTTAAACCCTTTGTAAAACATGAGCAGATACATGAATGCAAGAGAATGTTTTTTCATTATCTAAATTGGTTGTCAGTCAAAAAATAAATAAAAATGAGAATAAATGCCAATCCCTACATTAGTTGTCCTAACACTAGTGTCATCCCTCAAAATTAAAACCTTGCATACTGTACAGACTGTAATATTATTGAGATAATTCTCAATAATCTATAGGTCATAGGTCCAGGTAGGACAGCATCTGGGTCTATTTGTGACCTCGGCCAACACTGCGCTATTTACCAGACATCAATTCTTCTTTGCCACTCTATAACAGTAGTTGCCAATGGCTCACAGCACAACTATGAAGTTTATCGATATATTACATGGTGCATTGACTCGTGTACTCAGCGATAACCAATCCAGTATTTTAGGCAGTATCAGAGGCATTTACAATATTACTAGCAACTCTGCTCCTCCTTTATGAAGGAAAAACATAATTTGATACATTTTCATTGCGCCACTGAAGTTCTACCCCTGAGGCAGTGCACCATCCACAGAGGAGGGGCATGATAAGGACCATATATAAGGTGCCATGTAGAATTCAGTTTGAATTGTGATGCACTGTTAGCTTGATTTTCAGGATTGGGATCTGAAAAATGTTTCATTTCAAAGGCAATAGAAAAAACAGCTAGAACAGCTAGATCATAAAAGCCAGTCATGGATATTGTTTGAATGATGATGAATGACAAACTATAATCTTGCACATTTCTTTTAAGAGGGCATTTTTCTCACATTTTAAGAAATGAATTAGAATGGTTTACAAGAACATAACAACAATCAAAGACTTTGTGATACTTGGATTCCCAGGACTTCACCCAACATATTACGGACCTGTGTCTGCTCTTCTTTTCTTCACCTACTTGGTTATTCTTGCTGGAAATATTTTCATTTTAGTTTTTGTTGGGTTTGAAAGGCGTCTACAAAAGCCAACATATCTGATCTTCTGTCATCTGGCAATGAATGATTTCTTATTCGGGACAGTGACTTTGCCAAAAATCATATCCAGATATTGGTGGGATGACAAGATTGCATCTTTTGGTGCCTGCTTCACTCAGATGTATTTTGTGCATTCCTTGGGAGCTATTCATTCTCTCTTTCTGCTGATTATGGCTCTGGATCGTTTCATTGCAATTTGTCTACCTTTAAAATATCCTGTTCTAATTACAAACAACTCTATATCTATTGCTTGTGGGATGTCATGGATTGGGACATTTGTTAGGATGATGGCAGTTGTATTACATGCCCTTTCTTTGCCTTATTGTAGTTCTAACATCATTGTGCAATGTTATTGTGACCACATTTCAATAACAAACCTGGCATGTGGTGGAAATGTAAAACATGTTCAGACTGTTGCTGTCGGTCTTGCAATGTTTAGTCTCTTGCTTCCACTTTCATTTATATTTTTTTCCTACATTTCTATCTTTATAGTTGTTTTGAGAATACCAAACATGGAAAGTCGATACAAAACCTTATCAACTTGTACGCCACAGTTATTCATTTCATGCCTGTATTACCTGCCAAGATGTTTTGTTTATCTAGCTCATGCTACAGGGTTTTCCTTTGGTTTGGACTTCCGCATTTTGTTGATATTGCTGTACAGTCTTCTTCCTCCTGCTGTTAATCCAATCATATATTGCCTCAAAACCAAGGATATCAAAGAAGTTTTGATGAAGAGATTGGAAAATGCTAAAGTTGGAATGAAACAAACTTCAAAGTAATGCACCCAGTGTGAGAATCTACATTAAATTCTTATCTCTGTATATTAAAATGAAAAATTTGTCCATCCAAGCCACTTCCATTCTAGAGTACCTGAGATTGCAAGCTACATGTACTATAGACTATATATGCTGTTAAGGGGTAATTGTTTTATGAATGAACACATTTTGCTGTTCTAATAAATAATTTAAAATGCTGTTCTGCACTCTCACAAATGTATATGATCCATGTTACATTCAAATTAAACAAAAATGTAATGTACAAAAGACCATAGCCTCTTGCTTTCTGTTGACATTTACTGTGTGATTCTCTCATATTTTGATGTATTTTAATGAGCCTGATTTTCCGAGAAACAAACGTTTGTACTTTTGCCTTATTTCCAACACTATAATCTCATTTGTTATAGTATAACGATTATAAGACAAACCTTTATTTTAGTGTGTAAGCCGGATTCAGGTCTAACAAGTATGGTAACTGTGACAAAGGCAATATATCAACTTCAGGTAGATTATCAACCTATTGTTATTTCAAACATCAAACCATGAACATAAAGTATAATTAACTTCCTTTCTTTTCATAATCTATCAAGGTTTGCTGTTGGAGATCATTTTAGTATCATCTTCAAAAAGTGGTCTTTTCACTCCACTAATCTGAAGTCTCCAAAACAATGTTCAATTTATAAGAAAATTGTCATTTGCATCAAATTGTTCTTTCTGCCTTGTGAAATTTTGAAAAATCCAAGATAATGGCAGTGAAGACTCTTAGAAACAAGAGTGTTTGGATTTAAGCCAAGATTTGTGAGAGGATGAACAGGGTGAATACTGACAATCAGATGCTGACGATATGCATTACAGCAAATTAAGTACAGGTATATTCCAGTTCAAAGAAGAGCTGTGTTTTTGTGTGATGTTGCTTGTTAATTCCTATGTGGACAACTGGATGATTTTGCAAAACCCTGCCCTAGATTACATGAAATAACAATACATTTTGATCATCTAGTGGCAACATTTTGTAATTTTTTCCTACATTATCAATCTATGGTGAAGAAGGACAAGACATTGTTGTAGTTTACTTGTCATCAATATTTTTTAAAATGTCAATAATTGTTAGTGCAAGAGAAGACACAAATCCTGGCCTACAGAGTCAACGACAACTAAGGCACTGCACACACATCTATGACCATGACCTTCAAACCTTTAGTTTCACCACATTTTATGAAAAGTACACGACTCTTCACTAGAGATGTCCCAATTATTGGTCAATTTTCATTAAAAATATGTGATCAGTAGATCGGAATTAATGTGTCTAGTCACCGATCACCTTAAAACCAATCACCTATGGTTAATACTGCGGGCCAGTATTCACAAAGCATCTATGGCTAAAAGTAGCTCCTAACTTGCAGATTTAGGGGAGAAACTCCTAAAAATAATGGGCATGTCAATCCTAACTTTAGGACTCCTGTTTTTTGTTTTTTTTTACTAAGAGCTATTCAAAACCACTTAGCGCTAAAAGTAGCTCCTAAGTCTGGAAGAAGTTAGACGCAGTCGAGAGGACTCCTAACTCACTAAAACCAAATCACAAAGAATCGTAAAAGGCGTGCTGTCATTTCACGTCACAGTGTTTTGGAAACCTTACACGATGCTGACTTACTTAAAAGATACCAACTCAATCA